TTTCTGCTGCCTGCAGCTGTCCCAGCCACGACCTGTTCCTCTGTCCCCATTGTCTTTCCTGCCGGTGCTCACAGACCCCATCCTACTCACTCTGTGCTCAGCTCTGCCTCACAGGAACCTCCTGCAAAGGAGTGTGTCCTGAGAAGGGAATCCGGCCTCATCCACATCCTGGAGAGGGCATTCAGCAGTGTCCATGCCACCTGTGGACAGAAAGGGTGACTTGTCCAAGACCATCCTTCATCTGACCTGCTTTTGATATGCTCTTGGGAATTGGGTATCGTGCTGTATATTGCAAATACTGATTTAACTGTCATTGTCCAAAGCTGCTACCGCAGATGCAGATTGCTCCACTACAGATGTTTATATTTGGACAGATGAACGATTGTTGTTGTTGTTGTAGATACTGATGTCCTTGAGGAAATCACACAAACACCTGAAGGATAAATGGAGGATTACGATTGAACAGAGGGAGATAATCAGTTTATTTTCGGTGTGGTCCTGCTTATATAGCCCAGGATCCTGTTGTTCGCCTTTTTTGCTGGCTGACCTTTTGCCTAATGAAACTCAAGGACTGACAACTCCTTTCCCACAAAGATTCTACCCAGCCACCCAGCTCCTGGCCAGTGTCACCACAGCCAAGAACTCACTGGCTCATCCCTTAGGTCTTTTAGAAAGAGAGCTGAATCTAGGAGCTTACATGCAGGAGCCTATTTTGTGCACTACTGAAATGAGGGAAGAAGCATTCCATGTCCTGAGGGATTGCAGTTCTTATTACTGAAACCCAGCTGGCAGCTAAGGCCCATGGAGCTGCTTGTTCACACCCTCCTGGAGTCAGCTGTGCCCACTCCAAACTTTTTGTGCACCCCAAGCACACTCATTGCTGGAGTGATGTGGGAAGCCAAAAAGGCTTTGACCCTGTCTAAACTCTGCTCAGCAATCATGAAAACACCCCTGTGTTATCAACTGTTTTCAGCACAAACCCAAAGCACAGCCCCATACCAGCTACTGTGGAGGAAATGACCTCTATCCCAGCCAAAACCAGCACAGCATTATACATGGGATGGAGTTAAATGCCATGTCCCAGGAGTACACACCCAGGATGAGATGCCTTGATTGACTCATCTGAATCCCTTCCCTCAGAACTCGTAAAGGATCTTCCTCCCTCTTCCTTTATGGATTTCATGTCTTCAACTAGAAAAACAAAAAGTGATTCTTAAACATAAACCTTTTCCAGATAAGAAAAATGCCCCAGCTGTAAGGAATGTCTCTCTGCAGCTGAGAGAGGGAATATGGCTGATTCCTTCAGCTTGTTTCACAGCAGCTACCCCTAGATCCCCAGGTAAACCTGGAGGTGGCCCAGAGGGTGCAGACAAAGGGCTGCTCCTCTGCTACTGGGCTGGGCTGGGATCCTTGGACACAGGCATGTAATAGCAAGTGGGAAGCGCTGCAGAGAGCCAGCTCTGCCCAGAGCCGCTCTTCTGCAAAGCACAGAAGGGCTGAGGGCACTGCCTACAGGCCCCCAGGGGAGAGGAGAGACACACAGAGAAGTGAAAGGGAGCCTGAGGTGGGAGGACAGAGCTGATCGTGCTCATGGAGAAATCTTCACAGCATTTTTCACTGTAAGTCTCTGGCAACAGGCAAATTCATGTGAATATCCTGGAGGGATCTTCTAGAGCTGGTACATTACATGACTGATAGGATCTTTAGGGATGTCCCTCCTGGGTTTTCTGGTGTGGAGAAGGAGGGTATGCTCCCGTGCAGGGATTCCCTGCTGCACACTCAGAGGAAAAGGGCAGGCTGGCTGCCTTCTCCCAAGTATGGCTGCAGGGGTTTGGTGCCAGGGGTGCAGCCAGGGCTGCCCAAGGCTGTCCGTCATGGCAGAGTTCTTTCATGGCATGTTCTGCCTTCTTGGATCAGCATATAGACCACTTGGGGAGTTCCCCATGGAGCTGTGCTGAGAAGCTTTGTGTGAAAGGAGAAAACCCCATCGGGGGAAGGTCTTTGTGCTGTCAAGAAGGTATCACACGGGTTAGGGCTCCTCAAAGCTTCAGATTACCTCCTGGCTTTGGAGAAGACTTTGGAGAACACTTCTTAAGAGGCAATTCAAGGGAGGGTTACCTGAAAGGAAAGGAATATGTGTTTGAATTTTCCAGTCATGGTGGACTTGATGCACAGTGACAGATGGGAATTTCTTTCTCCATTTTGGAGAATCATTGAGGTTCTATTTCTCGTTCACAATTCTCTGAGCTGCTTCTGAGCCCCTGCACACATACAGATGCCCCTGGGTACTGCCTTGCTGCAGGAGAGGTCTGCAAGGCAGAGCTGAGCACACAGCGGGTGGGATGGGCTCTGTGAGCACTGACAGGGAAGAGACATGGGGACGATGAAGCAGCTCCTTGAAGAGACAGCAGCAGGCAGTGGGAACATGGGCAGCAAGTGAGAGGGACATGCTCCCAGAAACACCTTGGGGGGGTGTGTGTGTGTGTACTGGGGCAGCTCTCTGCCATGCCCTGCACTGCAGAAGCCTTACACAGGTACCCGCTGGTCTCACCTCA